AGCCTGTGATCAATAAGTGCCTACCTTTTGGTATCACAATATTGATTCCAAGACAAATGGCAGCCAACAGCAAAGTTCCCACCATAGTGTGTCGCCTGCCTATCTTTTCCAGTAAGTAGAGGACTGCCAGCTTGGCAGGAAGTTCAATTAATGCATAGGTAAAGTGAGTGAGATAGATGTTGAGCCCGAAACCTGTGATCTTGAAGCTGATGCCGTAAAATGTAGTTGCAACGCAAAACCTAGGGACGGAGAAGGAAGCGGCTTGTTAGTGAACAATCTGTTGGTTTACAATTTATACACAAGATTCAATACACTGTAAAGCCCTGGGAATGCAGACCATAATATACCAGTACGCAGGGCCAGTTTCCTCATCTCAGGTGTCCGAATCAGGTCGAGGTAAGAGTAGGTTCGATCTCGTTTCTCCGTCGTAACAATGGTGGATAGTGTCTGAAAGAATTCAAAGCCATTTGAGTGCAAGCTTCCATTTGCAACAATGCTGTGAAGATCAGAACAAAACCTACGATTACATTTAAATAAGAATACACTGTATTCTTTAGTGCCTTTGTTCACCTTCTTTGTGTGTAATTAGTGCCTATAATAGCACCATAATGGAATCTACTTGGCTCCCTTGACTTAATCATCTGGAGCTTACAAACCTCTGTTTCAAGTGTGTGGATCGACTCTTCTGTCCGATTCATGTTGGCACAGTTTTTCAGATACATCTGAGCTTGCTCCAGCTTTCCATTGGCAATCAGCCACCTAGCTGACTCTGGCATCCACCTAATGTTAGGGGGGAATTATTATTATTATCATTTTTAACCCATATGTAGGCCTATTGCAATGCAGCATTTAAAATAAAAACATCTCAAATATCTGTTCAGATTGAGAGACATAGTGAAGACTTGATAGAAGATTTTGAGCTAATAGTTGACCAATGAAGCTGGTTCTAATAAAACAGATTGCAGAAGCCATGACAACAGACAATGGTTCAAACATGAATGATAATAAGAAGAAACCATACATTCAGAATCTAAATGTCACAGACTATAAAGAATTATGGTTCAGCTAAAAGTTATCAGTTCACTGTCCCTGTGGTTATTACACCGCTTCATTTTAAATTTTTGTCAAGTTTTGTCACAGTTTTCAGGAGGTCAAAACTTCACTTGTGAGGTTTCAGGGAGCTTGACCTTTGACCACCAAGATCTATTCAGTTTATCCTTGAGTCCCAAGTTTTGTAAAGCATCAGATACGTAGTCTTTGTATTCAGTTAATTATTCTTCCTTCAAGATCAAGTGTCTACACTTACCCAAAATCACTTCCTTCGAAGGCCACAATCCCAGAGTTTTGTTAAAATTTCATAACTAATTTCATAACTAATCTATCAGGACAAGGACAAGCAAGGATATGCACGCCATTTTTTGTTTCACATATGCAGTGGCAAGCTAGTGTTTAGTTACGGAGGAATCATCAAATTGTTTTAATGCTTAAATTTTCTAAATTAAGTTTTGTTGTAAAAGGCAGAAATTGGGGTGCTTAAAATTTTACTATTACAACATTAGTATTATGTTATTAAATCGGTGCGCAAAATATTTTTTAATCTGTGTTTGTCCTTCAACTCATGCATGACTAGATCGATGCTGGATGTTAACCAGTCACAGACTTCCAGGTGAAAGCGATTAAAGTGTACTGAAATGAGCCTCTGTTTGATAACATGCCTTAGTCATACCTCCAAGTGAAGATGGCCAAGATTAAAGGTAATGTAACACTGATTATCAGCCTCCTCCAATCATTCACAAAATAGGCAATAAGTGAAAACGCTGTATTTCCAAACGTCCAGGATAAGCTGTCGATCACTCCCACAATCTTCCTGTGTTCAATGTCCACCCACTCCACACCTGAAATAAACAAGCAGTCGATTCATTTCTTAAGTAGCTTAATTAAAGAAAGCGGGACACAATTCAAAGAACTTTTACATGAGCTGAAAAAATGTTGTTGCGCGCACACAAGCCAAAAGAGAGTGGGTGCCTCTATCCTCTATAATGCAATATAATACTGTAATTTGGGAACGCGTTTCTGTCTTTTATGCAAAAATTTGCAATACAGTGTGCTCTCTCTGCGTCCCCCCACAGAGTTGAAGTTGAACAGGCGTCTGCAGCAGCTCATTTTGATTTTTTTTTAATCATTTTTAAATTACATTACTAAGCATACGGCACTACTCGTACTGGAAGTCAAAAGTTCACAGGACTACTGACCAATGTTCCCTCTAAGCTGCACGCGTGCGCAATTGCGCACTGCTGGCACGGTCTCTGCGCACAGAAAATCTGCGTTGCGCACGGAAAAAAAATCTGACCTGAATTGAAATTAAAATTAATGCTTTAACAATTTTGTTTTGCAGTGTTAGTCAATAAGTGACTGGCTGCTCCCGTATGGGATTAGAAGGATGCCATCTTATCCCATAGTCCAGCCAATAATGCGATTCACATTCATATATACGCAGCTAATCAACGTCGTTGACAGCTATGACAGCGTCCTTATGTGCCGACACCGGTGTTTTAACTAGCAAAGCGGCGTGGCTGATGTGGAGTGAAGCCACGTTAATGACAACATGTACAACCATTGGAGATGTGAGCAGGACAGACCGAACAATTGACGGAAAAAGTGTGGACTTTATACCAGTTTTTAAATTGTGTTGATAGGCCACGAAAACCAGAGTTATGATAAAAATATCTGCAATGTTTGGTTTACTTCCTGAATACTATCATTGTTTATATTTACTGTGGGAAGAAACAGTAAAAACAGCGTTTTATAAGGAAAACGAAAAAACACCACCCTTTCCCATTGGTGGAAAAATGTACCATGTCGACCAATCATGATATGGCAACAGTTGTTTAGGAAGGGGGAAGTTTTAGGAGTGACGGCGGTGTTTTGAGATGTGAGAGATTTGCGACGTTTAGCGCAAATCTTGTGTAGTTAGTGTGTAGTGTAGTCAATAGTTTTGTTGTGTGTGTCAGAACAATGAGGCGACTGCTGAATGTTACAGGTGTTACAGGAGTGATACATCTCCTGTTGTCAGGCCTGCAGGTATCAGGCTCCTTTATCTCATAGTGGACAGAAATTATGTTTTGGAGAGGCACAAATAATTTGTGTGGCATCAAATTTGATGCAGAACAGCTGATTGTTCTGTAAATAGCTTGAAATGTTTATTTTTTTTAAAAAACGCCTTGGCTGCATTTTTAGGTAAACTGCTGCAAAAAATGTTGTTGTTTGCATAACTCAGTTACTTTTTTGAAGAAGTAACTATATAATTAATTGCCCAACATTGGTCATTATATCCTGTATTTTGCAGACAGAGAGTTACAGGACTCTCTCCCAGACCACAGACTCAGACTCATAATACAAGTCAGAGCTTTATAAAAAAATATTTTTAGAAAGTTGTGTTTTCAAAATTGGAGTTCAAGTTATTTTTACTTCCAATAGTGTTAACATACTACACAGATCATGAACAAGATTTCTTTAAAAAAAAAAATCATTGTAAGTGGGCTAAAGCAGTTAATTAAAAGTAGTCTAACATAAATGCTGTAATTTGATTATTTTAATAAACCATGTAACTTGGATGGATTTGATGCTGGCGTGACCACAGTGCACACGTCTGCTGTTGCTCACAGTGGTCCAAGGGACCGCTGAGGGAGTTTGTGTTCGCTCAGACACATGAAAAATTAGAGGGAACATTGCTACTGACTAAACACTGCCTGCCATCATGACCTGTTACGTGTAATCAATGTGTGCAAAGCTCCTCTGTTCTAGAAAAAAAAAATAGATTTAAGATTTTTTTTTTGCGATTACATTTAAAGCTTCAGTGTGCTCACAGCAGTCAACATGGCATTGAAATAGTACATATTCATATATTTTCTCCTCTGTGGCTTGAAGCTGAAGTGAAGCTGATATAAGAATGGATACAGTGTTTGTTTAGATGATGAAATGAAATAATCACTGAGGACTGCTGAAACGATGACGATGCCTGTGATGCAGAAGCCAGTAAGGAACCTCAGGACCGTGAACATCACGTAGGAAGTAGAAAAGGCGCTTGCAACAGCAAACACCATCCCAGACACGTATGATACCAGCAGCATGATCCTTCTGCCATACCTATGGAAAAATCAGAAAGTCTCAATATTTGTTTTGTTTTTTTCAGTAGCTGGAACACTGGAAATCGCTGATACCTGTCACTCAGGCTGCCAAAGGCCATCGCTCCAAACATGACTCCAACAAAGAAGATGGTAGCAGTTGCTTTGTTTTTCCCTCTTCTATCACACACCAAGTCCCACTTGTACAAAGAAAAAAAAGATGCTGTTCTACATTTGGTTGTGGGATAATAATTAGGAACAAATACATTTTAATTTATTTCACAATAGGAAAAAAGTACAAAAGAATCACCTCTGAGGTCAGAGTAGACTTGAAAGTAGTGTTATCGTACACCCATCCGTTCTGGCACGGCACTGTTTGCGCATCAGTGATGTGGGAAGTGTTAAATAGCAGATGATATTGAGGCTCCTGGAACATCTGACAGGAGCTTGGAGTCCCATCCTGCTGAACTGGAATAGTAACAAGAAGCCTCTCTGTCTGGGATAAATTCATAAAAATACCCCCATTATCCAGAGAGCTGATGTCACAGTGATGAGAGGGAACAGCTGCAATGAAATTGTTGAGCATGAAGTGGCAAGGCAGAGTGAAGCGGCCGATGAAACTGATCACAATGATCATTTTCTGAAATCTTCCAAATCCGTTAATATCAGCAAGAACATTCTCAAACTTCATTGTGGCCTCCTGCTGTAAGCGAAATGTCTTCCTTTAAGGTTAAAAAGAAAAGGAAAGTCCTCAGTTGCTTGTAGCCTATATCCGAAACTAGCAAATCTTTGATTGATTTGCTTCTGGACTATCTGTAATAAGTCAATGTTTTACCTGCCTTAACAAGTTAACTAATGTTTATCTATGTGACTGTAAATACAAGCTTGCTCTAGTCTACTGCAGGCTCTCCATTGTTGACACAGTCAATAATAAAGAAACTGCGATTCAGTGGAAATTTATGGGCAAACATGGGCAAAAGACAATTTGCATATAGTGGTTTTTGACCACTTTTTATTTATTTCCTTTAAATAATATAACAAAATAGCAAAAGTAGCAATGAAAAAAAAAAAACTGTTGCTGTTACAAAAATGCGAGACAGGGTTCAATGTCCTATTACAACAGGACATGAGCAAAAAGGATAGGACTGATTAGGACTGATCAGTGCGCTAAGACTAAAGTTCTATGAGGTAATACTGTGATCTGTTGAAGGCACACCAAATAATAGCATATATTTTTTTTAAACCAAAATGTCACCTAATAAATTACTAACTACACCATATGGTATGACCAGCTCTTGCTGGCAACATCTGAAACTTTTAAGGTGATTTGAAGTAAATTCAAACTGTAGCAAAATGTGGCAAATGTGGGCCACATACAGGAGCTGCTTGGAAATGGAAACCCATGCCACCAAGCTCCCAGTATGCAGTTTTTGTGCTGATGATAATGCCAGTGGAGGTTTGGAGCTCTGCAGCTACTGAGTCAACCACAGAGTGCAGGTGATTTTTATGGCGACTTGGTGACCCTGCTCTGTAACTTTACATGGTCTGCCACTTTATGGCTGTGAGTTGCTGCAGTTCGTAAATGCTTCCACTTTACAATAATGCCGCTTACAGCTGATCGTGGAAAATCTAGGAGGAAAGACCAAGGTCATCTTTTTAAAAACAGGCCACATGGCTAGGTTCTTGATTTTACACACCTGTGGCAACTGGTGAAAACATCTGAATTCAAAGATTAGGAATTGTGGCAAAAGACACACTTTTGTCCATATATTGAGGAATGAGGAAATTTTAAATCTTGTGTGTTTTTATTATTTAGTGCTGTAGGACTGATGTGTTTGTCTTATATGAAGATCTTTAAGGTCAAAGGGCAGTTTGTCAGAGGAATAGAAATGTGGTTATTCCTATTGTATTTTAAACCACAGGATTCATGGCAGCTATCATGTATCAGTTTGCCTCTGTTTACAGCAAGTTACCACACTCGCTCTTGCACTTATAGATAGAATAAAATTTATAATAACTGTGGATTTCCTCATTTATCGAGCATAAAATCAACACCTCAAATACAAATATGTCATACAGTATTTGAAATTGGGTTTCAAGATTTATTTCGATTTATTTTTACTAAAGAACACAGACATATGACTCACAAGACAATCAGATTTAGAGCAAAAAAATAAAATAATAACTGAATCTAACAAACCGTGCTTTTTCATTAGCTCAAGTTTCCTAACATACTCAATCTAATGAAAGGACTGAGATATTTGTGTTTTTTTTTTTTTGTAAATTTATAGCTACACAGCGGTATGTACTTAGATCACACATGTGAAAGGCACTACATTTGTACCCTCTGCAACAACAAAGAAGAATTCTACTACAGCTAAATTTGGATATTTCCCCCATGAGGAGGTAAAATGACTTCATATTCAACATGGATTGAACATGTGTAAAAGACACTGTTTTTACATATGTTTAAACTGTTTGCTCCCATCAAGTTGCTGTGGTGATTTAGTGTAGTCCTATGGGGATTTTCATTGCACTGACAAAAACGCACAGGCAGGAGATTTCTCATCAGAGGCGGAGACTGATCGTCTTCTGAAATACAAAAGACATTTTCATTTTAAAATGTACATAATTTTTTAAATACATTTTACAATGTTTATTTTTCTACATTAAAGCCCAGTACCTTGTCTGTTCCACGTCCTCAATAGTCTCCGGTAAACGCACATTGTACGTCTCAGGGAGCAAAGAAGCTGACAGTCCGGCGCCTAAAGCCACCAGGGAAAAAACAAAACTTGGCAGATTCACCCACACATCTTCAAGGAGCATGATCAAGGGGGATACAGCCACACCTACACGGGCCATAAAGGAACAGTATCCCAATCCATTTTGCCTGAATTACAAAAAGAAGAAAAAATAATACAAATGTTGTGCTCTGATTATCAGGCAGCAAAATAAAAGACAATGTGCATTTTACTGACCTCATTACTGTGGGATAAAGCTCCGTTGTGTACAGAAAAACTATTGTAAAAGAGCCCTCTGAAAACATCTTGCCCAAAGCTCCCACAGCTGTCCGAACATTCCCCCTATCTGAAAAGAAAACACTATAATTCACCTTGTGTTCTAGTTAAGACTTTTCACTGAATTTATTAGAAGATTAAATACTAGAAACGCATAAGGACATTTAATTTGCAGTTGTTTAAAGCTGCAGCTGATACTGATGCAGTGAACTGAAAGCAGACCTATTAGGATTTTCCTTACTTTTGATGGCAGATGCTCAAATTTAACAGCTCATACAGATAATGGGGTCATCACATATTCAACTAATTATAATGAGCTAAAAGCTCAACCATCAGACTAAACACTGAACATCTTAGATGTTTTGTTTCTAATTTATTATGTCAGAGATGGGGGGTAATTACTAATTCAACAATCTACTGTTTAAAGAAAACTGTTTCACTGGAAGAACTACATTGAAGAGGAGCTAACATGGTTTACTTCAGACACTGGATGAACTGGGCTGCGCCAAGACTAGTACAAGGAATTTTTATGAACTAGCAGCTTAAATCATGCAAAACTACTCCAGAACAAGAGTGAATTATGTGTAGTCTTTGTCAGTCTGGTCAAATAATCATGGCTTGGTGCATGTGACAAATAATATAATACTAGAAAGTAAACTAATAAACTAAAATGAATACATCTACACATTTGAATGGATCATATACCTGCATGGATAAACACACTGCTGAATATAAGCAGCCCAGTCAAAATGAGCGTCCCGGCTTGATTCCACCTTCGACCTATTTTGTCTACGGTGAAAAAGACGAATCCTTTGGCTGGAATCTCTATGACACCATAGATGAACTGTGTGAGATAAATGTTCACACCAAATCCGCTGATATTCAAGCTGATTCCGTAATAAGCGAAGGCCACTCCAAACCTGCGAGCAAGACCAGACTTTTGTTATTTTAAAGTTAAACAGTTGCCCCAAAGAACAGTAGTTTCTCATTAGCTACCTGCTATCTGACATGGATAATAGTAAAACCATTGTTATCGAAACAGTGTTAGAGTTCAGCAAACATGATGTTGAACAACCTGTTCTTGGCAGTTTATTCTAGTCTAGTCTAGTTAAAAATTTGTTTAGACATGAGATTTGGGCCAATGTTTTCAACGCAATTTTGCCGTTGACCTTTTGAAGGTTGCCTGGATGTCCTTGTTAGACTTTCCAGCAAAAGGTGGAGTAGGTAAGGAGGGGTGGGGGGTGGGGGCACAGTGCTTCTGCCACTGAGCTAACCAACTAGGCTGAGGTTTAATAACTTCAAGAGCTGAATTGCTCAAAAACGAAGACTCCAGAAATAATTTAGATGTAGTGTTGTCGTTGGAATAGATGTTCTCAATGTAGCTGTCCATCAAATGTCATGAAAAACAGCTAAATTTCCTTAATACAAGATTCTGGTGGTGATATTTTTTACTTTTTCTAAATGCACCCCAGAGAAGAAGAAAACAACATCAACATCTGGCCTTCTACAGTTCCGTTTTTGCCATCATAACGGCCAGCGGTTTTACCCTGGGGGATAATGCCACCATTTCAACCAAGTTTACTGGTTGTAGCTAAGAGACACTGGTAAATATTTGTATAGCGCTTTACTTGGTCCTAAGGACCCCAAAGCGCTTTACACTATACACAATCATCCACCCATTCACACACACAGTCACACACTGGTGATGGCAAGCTACATTGTAGCCACAGCCGCCCTGGGGCGCACTGACAGAGGCGAGGCTGCCGGACACTGGCGCCACCGGGCCCTCTGACCACCACCAGTAGGCAACGGGTGAAGTGTCTTGCCCAAGGACACAATGACCGAGACTGTCGGAGCCGGGGCTCGAACCGGCAACCTTCCGATTACAAGACGAACGCCCAATTCTTAAACGACGATCGCCCACATCGTGGGCAAGTGGGCCTTAACAATGCAAGGTCCACTTGCATTGTTAAGTGGGCCTCACTGGGCATAGTTTTAATTTTTGGACTGAATAAACATACTGGTGCATCCCTATCATGGATATAGACAGCTGTCTCCAAATTTTAAAGGTGGATCTTCTCAGGTTGAAGATCAAATATGCATTTCTCGGTTATTAATAATTATTCAATGAACCTCCCAATCACGGACATGGACACCTTTGTCCACAGTTTTAACCATCAAATATGTACTAATGAGCAAATAGTTTATATACTTATGTATAATGTTTTAAATGTTCAAGATAAATACCACACAATGCCACTAAGTAGAGCGCGCCTTCTCATTTTGGGGGTCTTCACGAGGTCCAGATAGGAATATTTTCTGTTTTCATCTTCTACAAGTATTACTGTAGACAGAACCTGTACAGTAAAAAGGAAACTTTATTCAGAGAAAGGTGCTGTGAAGTGTACAGTTCTGTCTTGAAGTTAGCTGATAATGAAAATGTTGTACCTCAGGTTTTAAGTCAGCCATAACGTCCTCTCTGCCGTTAACTGTTGCACATTTACTCAGGTAAAAATGAGCGTCATCCGTTTTTCCATTGCTCATCAGCCACCTGGCAGACTCAGGGAGCCACCTATGAGAAAGAAGGGTTGAGAAGGTCTTTTAAATACTTTTAGAAAGACAGGAACTAGTTTTCCCTGCATGAAAACTGAATAATGATATTAATTTGTCTTTACCACCAACAGAGCATAGCTGCAAACAGTGGGGAGATTACAGCAGCAGTCAGGAATCTCCAATCATTGATCAAATAGGCCACTCCAGGTAGAATAACACAACCAACACTCCAGTCCAAGCTCATTAAAACAGCCACTGTAGTCCGATGCCTGATATCCACCCACTCAAGACCTATGTGGAGGAATTTTATGTATTTTTTTATTAATAATGACACTGATTGAGATTACTGATAAAAATAAGGATTTTGAGCAAACCACACCTGTATGGGCATCATCTCAAAAAAATTTAATTGTGTCAGTGTGATGTTTCATTTATTTTTTGTTCGATGTGAATGACAGGCAACTCACAGAGGACGAAGGAGTTTATACTAATTCCCGAGAGTCCGAGTCCAGTACAAAATCTCATTGTAGCAAACATTAGGAAATTATAGGACAAAGCGGCCGCTATCCCAAAAACGGAACTTGCCATGTAAGACAACAGAAGTGTTTTTTTCCGGCCAAACCTGTAAAACAAATTTTTAAAAAATGACAGTCAAATAATCTACGGAACACTTAATTAAATGAAAAAAAGCCTAGATTACAACTGTTAAGAACACTTTATTTTCTCTTAATTTTTGAAGTTGAATGTTTTTTTTAGCTCACTAAAATAAAAATAAATGTTGGACTTAAAAAAATGGAAAAACTAAAAAAAAATCCTGTGCACTTGGAAAAATAACTAAAATAAAATAAAGGAGGGAAGTAAGGAAATAATATTTGTTTCAGTATTTGTTAATTTGGCAAAACCTTTATTACATACCAATGAGGTATTGATGGACATTTTTTATTAAGACTCTGTCTACAAGACTGTGAGTCAAATGCTTTCAAAAAATTGTGTAATTTTAATTGTACTACCTGCAATGGCTATCCTAAATCTTGCCTTTGGCTTATACCAACCATATAGTAATAATTAAAAAGACCAAAACTAAACATTTTCCAACAAGACAAACTAAACTGAAACAAAAAAAAATCCTCTGTAGAAACTAACTGAAAATATATTGAATTAAAAACTAAATGTCAAAATGAAATAAAATAAAAGTTAATGAGAAAATAAAAAAACATTAAAATAATTCTGGTCCCATTGTCACAGATGTTAAAAAAAGGCAGACCTAGCCATGCAGTCTGACTGTTTGGCTTAATGCCTTGTCAGTATAGTGTACTTTTACATAATTGAAATATTTCTTATAAAGAAAAATCCCTCTGACCTGAAGTATTTCAAAGACGGTTGTTTTAAATATAAACAGTACTCTAGATAAAGGACCTTAGTGATGTTCTCCACTGTTCTGTCTTTGAGGCCTCTATGGAAGCATCCAAACTCACCTAATAGAGGGGCTTACTCCACCCTACTTGCAAAGTACCTGTGAATGATTACTTTTGGCAATACAACTTTGTTCTTTGCTATCTAGGGCTCATCGTAATATTTGGTAATGCACACCCAGATCAATACAGACTTGTCACTATAGTTGTACAAGAAAATGTTAAGCATAGTTGATTTTATTATTCAGTGTGTTTGTGCTCATTTTAAAAGTGATGACATGGACTCACCTGTCACTAAGGAAGCCAAATATTCCTGATCCTAACATGACCCCCACAAAGAATATGGTGGCCGTGGCTCTGTTCATTTTTCTCTTGTCACAAACCAGATCCCACTATAAAGGGAACAGAGACAAAAGGAAAACATAGGCTAATTCACAACTGGTATTAATTTCCTGCTTGTTAAATGGAAATATTGATCCTCACCTCTGTAGCCAGAGTAGATCTGAAGATGGTGGTGTCATATATCCAACCATTCTGGCATGGCACTGTGGGTATGTGGGTTAAGTTGGAAGAGTTTGACAGCAGTTGGTACTGAGGCTCTGCAAACATCTGACAGGAGCTCAAACTCCCATCCTGCTCAAAAGGAATACTAACATTGAGCCTCTCTTCCAAAGATAAATTCCTGAAAACACCTCCATTATTCTGAGACCTGATGTCACAGTGGTGAGAGGGAATAAATGCAATAAAATTATTTAGCAGGAAGTTAAATGGTAAAGTCAGCCGTGGAATTATTAACAAGAGGAATGTTCTTAGTTGGAATCTTCCAAAGCCATTGATCTCTGCCAGCACATTGTCAAACCTCATCTTGGAAAACAAAAGAGACACAAACTAGAGAATAACCTGAAGCAAATACCTTCAGGAGCACAAAATATATTTTCATAGTGAGCCACAAGCCGCTTTTATTCCATTAAGTGATCTTGGTTAACGGTCAGCTGATGTTCAATGTGTTAATTTGTTGTTAGGCAGTATGAAAAAAATAAACTGAACTCAGTGAACCGTAGAAGTAAATAAATAATTTTCCAAGAAAGCTGTAACTTTAGTGATAAATTACCAAGGTCCAAAGTTTAAAGAAATGTGTATTGGCTGAGTTTAATACAAGAAATTTCCAGTGGGAAAATGTCATTCTATTTTTTCCCTTTTGGTCAATACCTGTAACATCTTTATGTCTGTTGATCTAGCTTTTAAGAACATTTCTATTTTTTTTAACCAGAATTTAAAGTTAAGAAGTGAATTTGTTTGGGTCAAGGAGAAAAAATGATGTGAGTGGAGCACGTTCTTTGCACAATAGCTCTACAATTAGAAACATGCTGTCTCAGAGTGACCCTGAAAAACTAGTTCATACATTTGTTACTTCTAGACGGGACTACTGTAATTTGTTATTATCAGGATGTCTTGATAAACACTTCAGTTGATCCAAACTGAAGGAAGAGTACTGACAGGGGCTAGAAAGAGAAAGCATATTTTTGCTATATTGACTTGAGTCATTGGCTCCCTGTTAAATCCAGAATTGAATTTAAAATCCCCCTCCTCACATACAAGGTCTTGAAGAATCTTGCCCCATCACATCTTAATGATCTCATGGTACTGTTTCACCTCATTAGACTGCAGGCTTGCTTGTGGTTCCTACAGTATTTAAAAGTAGAGTGGGAGGCAGAGCCTTCAGTTTTCAGGCCCCTCTTCTATGGAACCAGCTTCCAGTTTGGATTCGGGAGACAGACACTATCTCTACTTTTAAAATTAGGCTTAAAACTTTCCTTTTTGCTAAAACATATAGTTGGGGCTGGATCAGATGACCCTGGATCCTCCCTTGGTTACGGTGGAATAGGTCTAGGCTTCTTCTTCACTCACCTTTTTTACTGTGTTATATGCCACTCTGCATTTAATCATGAATTATTATTAATCTCTGCCTTCCTCCCACAGCATGCCTTATTTCCTATCTTAATTGACTCGAGTTTTTCCTTCCTACTGTTACCAAATCGCTTGCTCATCAACAGGGGGTCATATGATTATTGGGGTTTTTCTCTCTTTTCTTTGTATTATTGTAGGGTTTTTACCTTACAGTATAAGGTGCCTTGAGGCAACTGTTGTTGTGATTTGGCGCGATATAAATAAAACTATATTGAATTGAATTAACAGAGAATGAAACAAAATGAAGCCAACATCCAAGGAAAAGCCTTGAAATGTCCTTCAAGAAGCCTGGAGAACTATTCCTGGAGATTATTGAAAAATATTACAAGAGAGGATGCCTAAGAGACCTCTTAATTTAATGTGAACAGAGATATATGGAACAAAAGCTCATTAATGTTTCAGTCATTTATTGAGACAGTTTAATTACCAACCATAGCAAGGCTAATATTTGTGACTACTATATAATTTTATATCCACAAATCATATTTTTCCTAAATGATATAAAGCCAAACTAGAATTTTTATTTAAAAAAACCCTCAAATCTGCATTATTTAATGCCGTGTATTTTTTATTTTTTTTTTATTTTTTATTAGCTCATATTTTTTACAAATTGACAGATACCAGGGCTTGAATATAGCTTTGGGTTTTAAGCTGAATACATACATTCCCTAACCCTTCTAAAATTAGGTCTAAAATTACATCGTGGCTCAAGAGTTGGGAGTTCGCCTTGTAATCGGAAGGTTGCTGGTTTGAGCCCTGGCTTGGACAGTCTCGTCGTTGTGTCCTTGGGCAAGACACTTCACCCGTTGCCTACTGGTGGTGGTCAGAGGGCCCGGTGGCGCCAGTGTCCGGCAGCCTCGCCTCTGTCAGTGCGCCCCAGGGTGGCTGTGGCTGCAATGTAGCTTGCCATCACCAGTGTGTGAATGTTTGTGTGGATGGGTGGATGACAGGTTGTGTAAAGCGCTTTGGGGTCCTTAGGGACTAGAAAAAGTGCTATACAAATACATTTTACCATTTTACATATATGCTTTTGACAAAACTTGATACAGAGCTGACATTTTGTTTGTTTCCAGCTGCTTGTAGGCCTCTTTCTTCTAGACTGATGAATTATTCAGCAACTCAATCAGTGAAAGTTGCGAAAATGACACTTGCACACATATACAGACATGAAGTCATGTTATTAATTATAATGAGAATGACTGTTTACAATCTAAGGCCAACTGACAATGAATAGTTTGTGATAATGCAAATTACTTGTGACATACAGATCATTCTCAGGCATGTAGGCATTTGTAGCAGTGCACCTATCATGACCTAATATGCTTAAGTGCAGACTTTACCCACCTGGAGAGTCTTCTTCAGTTATGTAAATGACCTGACAAAAAGCTGTATTACGTAGAAACTATAATTCTAACAAGTCTGGTGTAACATATAGCATACAAGTAGAACAGAGTTAAGGTTGCTTTGAAATGTGCTTCATTCTTCTTAGAAATAAACAATGGAAATGTATGCCATTTTTACAAGGTTATTGCATGTATCTAAAAAGTGTGCAAAAAAAATGATGTAACAGCACTGATATAATAAATGAAACTAGACTAGACATGAATTAAAATTACTATGAAATGATGCTGTGTACTAACACATAATTTTATCTCTATTCTTTGTTAGTTTGTTCACATCAACTTATATACTGTTTGTGTATTGAGCTGGATATTGAGATAGCTACTCGACTTCCAAAACACACATGACCTGAAAAATGCCCTAATATTAGAATATATTTAGACAACCAATAAAGCTAAACAGAAGCAAAAACATAATAATAATAATAATAATAATAATAATAATAATAATAATAATAATAATAATAATAGTTCTTAATTTAATCAAAGGTGCTTGAAAGGATCATATAACTAGTTGGATAAACATGCTGCAGAACATGAACATCCCAGTCACCAGGAACAACCTGCCTCGAGTCCATCTTCAACCTATTTTGTCAGTAAGATGGTCAAAAACTGCTGCTCCAACCATGACCCCAATGAAGACAATGGTAGCTGTGTTTTTCTGTTGGTGTTTGTCTTATCACAAACCAGATCCCACTATGAAGGGAGGATGGCCGAAAGAAGAATTTTAGCTGATATAGGACTGGTATTCATTTCCTGCTTTTTAAATGGAAATATTGAATCTCACCTCTGTAGCCAGAGTAGATTTGAAGGTGGTGGAAACCAATAACTTGTGTGCACCTAACAGGCCAAACATTTACTTTATACTGAGGATGGTAGGATGGAAATTTCCTAATTTTTTTAAAAAAAAGCATGCATGGAAAGTGGAAGTAAATAAAGCATGGAAGTAAATAAACTTAATAAAGTAAAGTAAGAATCACCATCGATTCACTATCAATACCAGCCTATCTTTTCATTTGCTAATGAAATGTGTTGTATACAGTGAAACATGACAAGACTAGAAAGTGTTTTGCTACGAGCTGTCTCATTACAAAAATGAAAAAAGCAAAAACGAAAAAAAAAAGTGAATAATAGTGGTGTTAACATTATGTTTATTGACACTCGTTGAGCATTTCAACAATGGTGATCTTTGAAGTTGTAACATGGTAACTTTACTATTTAAAATCAGTTAAGATCCAGACATTATAAGTCTTATTATTGATGACTGTGTTTTTCTTATTGAATCTCCTTCCTTGGTGACTGTCTCCTGCCATATAAATAAGACTTCAGTTAGTCATTTGACCTTACGTGCAGACATCAGGACATAGAATGTAATGTGTATTTTGGACTTTGATAAACAGTAAACTGCAGTTTGCTGGATTATTGTTTCGTGGGGAGTTTCTGTGAATGGTTAATCTTTTAGCTTTAGTTTGGATACTGAATTATATGCTGTGATGCTTTAACACTCTCTTCTCTTTACCTTGGTTTCTCAATATCTTCGATGAACTCTGGCAGTCGGGTGTTTAATGTTTCGGGCAGAAGTGAAGCAACTAAACCAGTTCCAACTGCCACTGCACAGTAAGTGGCTGCAGGGAGGAGATGCCACAGATCTTCCAATAGTACAATGAGTGGAGAAATGGACACGCCCAGTCGTGCCAGAAATGAGGTATAGCCTAAGCCATTTTGTCTAAAAAGATCAAACCACTGAGGTTAATGTAAACCTTTCATGTGAATAATCAAAGCAAGGCAGAAGAACGTTTTTTGTGGACTAACCGAACGACCGTAGGGTAAAGCTCAGTAGTGTAAAGATACATGATAGTGAATGAGGCCTCTGACATAGATTTTCCAAGAACTGCCACAACAGTACGAACAGTCCATTTATCTAAGGAGAACAGGATAGAGAACATTTTCAGGTGAGAGAACACATCCACCAAAGACCAATCTTTTAATTTCTAAAGATTGATCCTGCTTACCACCAGAAATGAATGCATACATTCATATCAACTCTCGGTGGCAGAAATAAATCACTAAATGTACAAGAAATGTACGAGAAATGACCTTTTGGAACAAAGATGTTGATGAAGAGACAGAGACCAGTTAATAGCATGGAACCCATCTGGCCATGCTTTCTCCCAACTTTCTCCAGGAAGTAATAGACGCCAATCTTCATGGGCATTTCAATGGATGCAAATATGAACTGTGTTAGGTATGGGTTCAGTCCAAATCCTGTGATATTCAGAGTTATTCCATAGTATGTAAATGCAACGCCAAACCTAGAAAAGGGGGAGAACAAACACTTAAACTTAGGCCGATAAATAAAGGGGTAAATACAAATTTCCTCAAAGAAACCCCAAACATGATTGCAACTCTCATTTAAATATCATATCACATGACAGGAGTTTTTACACTGTATGCTAGAACAAAATCAAAAGCTGTGTAAATTTCCCAGTGTCAAAAATGATAGCTATACAAATAACAATTGCTTTATATCCGTGAGATAGCTCAAAGGCTTTAACATCTTTGTCCCAAATACAATTTGGCCCATTTGTCTATTTAATAATCCAGCCATAACAGTCACTTAAGATAGCAAAAATACACACACAAACACACACACACAGAAAAGTCAGTTAACTCTTTTTAAAGTGCTTTTGGTAGAAAATGCACACATATGATGAATATCTGGAAGAAATCAATTTGCCTTTTCCCAAAAAGCTGAACAATCTCCTAACTCCAAACCATTATACCGAAACTTACCATACCATTCCTGAGTATATAGCAAGTTTTCTAATATTTGGGGTTCTGAAAAGATCTACAAAAGTGTACTTCTTAGTGCCATGTTCAGTTTCTGCACATTCCAGTAATGTCTGTGAGAAAGCCAGGGAAACATAATGTGAATGTTCATTTACAAAGCCCCCTTTTTGTCTTATTTTACAGTAAGACTGTCGGCTAATAAAAAAACCAAAAAAAACATTTTGAGATGTACCGCTGGTGTGATGGTGGCCATGCACTTGGATCTGTTGTTCATCTTGGCACATTTCATTATGTAATGATGAGCAGCATCTGTCTTTCCTTGAGCTACAAGCCATCTAGCAGACTCTGGAAGCCACCTAAATCAACAAACATGGTGAGTTTAGCATCTGATCAAAATCCAATGAGATTAAGGATACTTTGCAAAGTCAGCAAATAAAACGTAAATACCTCCAAGCAATGATAGACAGAATCAGGGGGGAGGTAACTGCTAGAATCAGCTTCCTCCACTCGTTTACAAAATATGCAGTGCCAACCAGGATCCAATTCCCAATTGTCCAATCCAGGCTTATGATCACACCAGAGAAAGTCCTGTGTTTAATGCTAAACCATTCAACATCTGCAGAAACATTAGCACAGGTATTAAAAAAAAAGAAAAAATAATAAAAAGAAATTGTGCAAATTCTTGAAAGAGAAACAGAATATGCCTGTAAACATGAACCAGGCTATAATGTCTCAGTCATAGGTTAGCACAGTTTTAACAATATCCTGCTTACTCAAAACAATGGCCATGATGCTTATTCCTGCGAGTGACATGCCCGTAAAAAATCTCAAGATGACAAACATTACATACGAGGTGGAGAATGCACTCAGCACTGCAAATATCAAGGATGACAGATAAGACACGAGCAGAAGAGGACGTCGCCCAAACCTGGTCATGAACAGAAAAAGCATGAAGTAATGACTGTGCTCACAGCTGTGGGGTAAACCTCTCACATGTCTATATTTTAGTGCTGTCAGTGTTAATCTCGTTAAAATGATGTTAGCGCCATAACTGCATTAACGCGGCAAATCTCCTTTAGCGAGTTAGCGCGGATCGCCCCGTGCGTGGGGCAGCACGGCGCCGTTAACGCTGACAGCGCTAATATATTTATAATTCGCAAGATGGTTTTATTTTGCAACACTTCAACATCTCGCTTATTGATCTTATTGTTATTTTATTTTCAGTTATATCTAACTGAAAATAATCAGCTATATCTAGACATATATATATATATATGTCTGTATCCAAGTTGGCATTGGTAATGGTACTGGTAGAGACTGAAACAAGTCAGACCTGGAAAATAAAAATAAAGTAATACATTTCTGGTCATTTTGTTGAATATACTAGTACATTAAAAAAAACTGGAATATTATGGAATATAATTTCATTTAAAGCAGTAAAATTTTTGAATTAAATCAACCATGTTCTATATCCATTACAGGTGATGTGAAATATTTCAAGTCTTCCTCTTTTCTTTATTTTTTTTTTTATGTGTGATATTATCAGTGTTGGGAAGGTTACTTTTAAAATGTATTCCACTACAGATTACAGAATACATGCCCCAAAATGTATTTTGTAACGTATTCCATTACGTTATTCAATGAGAGTAACTTATTCTGAATACTTTGGATGACTTAATATATTATCATGCTTTTTACAACTACACAAATGTACTATTGCTGTGTGATTTATTGCTTTTACTGAAGGTTATTCGTCATAGCAATGCCAACTAGATTTTTAAATCTTAATATAAAATGAGTAACAGGGTTGATATTAGGTAAGGCTGCACTTTTTTCAGTGATCTCATATAGAAAACTATTCGGCGCGTATATAAAACAGGTCCGTAGTGTTGGGGAGTAACGGAATACATGTACCGCAGTTACATATTTAAAATACAAAATACGAGTAACTGTATTCCGTTACCGTTACCGTTTAAAATGGTGGTATTCAGAATACAGTTACTTTGTTGAAATAAAGGGATTACACGGCGGTATTTTCCTGTTTCATATGTTAGGCTATGCTCTCTCTATTTTTGGTAATTCCACGCCGGTGGAAACCCAAACAAAACACGCATTAAGAGGCTCAAATGCCTGTGTCTCAATCTTGCGTCTCATAATGACGTGAAGAAATATTTTTTAAAATGATTTAATATGAAGGCAATAGGCAGAGTGTTACAGGCATCGGCCTAAAGAATGTAGCCTCATGGGCAGTGTAGTCCGTGCTGCAGGGAGAATGGACTGCTGTACCCGTTATGTGTCTGTGAGCGAGGGAGGGAGAAAAAGGAAAAGTACGAGCTGTCATCGAGCAAAAACGGGAGCTGGAAGCATGTAAATATAATAATAAGCACTGCAGCCAAGAAGAGTGCCTGATGAGCCCAGTTGTAAGTAAGCTATTAAGACTCGACTGTACACTGTGTTCGTGTTTTCCTCTGAAACAACAAGTTCCGCTGGAGTCTTTCAACGCCTCTCTCTGTCTCTCGCTAGCAAAGTTGACCCAGACAACAAAGTAAAGCTAGTTTTCAGCTACGAGCCCAACACGGAACCCGATGTATTAGCCAGAGGTCCCTTTACAGTTTTACGCCTCTACGGTGCCTTAATCATCAAAATTATCACAAAAAATGATTTAAAATATTTCACAATGTAGAGTGTATATGAGAAGAACTAGTATTTTTGACCATTTAACCCTTACCTGTCACTGAGAAACCCAAAAACTGGGGCTCCAACCATAACACCAATAAAGAAAACGGTTGCAGTTGCCTTGTTCATACCTTTTCTGCTGCACACGAGATCCCACTGCAAATAATCGTTAAAATATTACAATATGTGATTTTACAGTTGCATCTTCTGGAAAGTAAACAATAATTAAATGAATGATGCCTGGGAAATTACATTTAGCTAGTTGGATTATTTTCTGTAGATAATAAAATGGATAGAAAATTATATCCTTAATGTTAGCAAAAGAAAATTTGTTCTTTGAAAAAAATCCAAATGACTGTGTAAAATGTCTCTGTTCAACATAAGTAATTCTCACTTACCTCTGTTGCCAAAGTAGACTTGAAGGTGCTTTTGTCATATACCCATCCATTTTGACACTGAACAGTAAATGAGCCTTTGCTGCTGTTTGAGCCTAACAGATATTCATAATGGGGCTCTGAAAACATCTGACAGGAGCTTGGAGTCCCATCCCGCTCTGCTGGAATACCAACGGCTAATTTCTGATCTAAAGTTAAATTTCCAAAGACAGCTCCAGTATCCAAAGCATCGATGTTGCAGTGATGCGAAGGAACAGCTGCCATGAAAATGTTCAGCAGAAAGTGACATGGCAAAGTAATTCGAGACAGGATCTGAATCAGGACTAGAGCAATTTGGAATTTTCCAAATCCATTAATTTCTGCAAGAATGCTGTCAAATTTCATTTTGCTGTGCTTCCTGTATCTCCGGGAGGACAAATGCTCTAAAAGTCAAGTGCAGTAGAGTATCACTCACTATAAAGGACACATTCACCAGCACAATGTTAATAATTGAAATGAATACCAAAAGCATGTATTAATAATGTAACTTAACTGTACCCAGTACGATACAGTTACTCAATCAAACACTGGCTTTGCTTTGATCAGTTATAAGGCTGATATGTTTATTCAAACGCTATAATAGTCAGGATTTATAATTGAAAATTTCTAAAATAGATCTCAGTTCTCCAGAAAGCACTCTTATCCCACAATGCAGCTGCAGTGCAATATGCAAAGGAATCAGATGGTTTTGTAATGTTTTATTTTACAACTGTAGTAAGTTCTAAGACATCAGCTCTGGCAGGGCATAAATTTAATAACAAAGACATCACACCCACAGGCAACTTAATATTTTAGCACCGTATCATGTACACAGCCCAGAGTAATACAGTCACACAGGATTTCTTCATGTAGCACCTGCACCAAGATAAAAACAGCCACAAAGATGAGATCAACTATAGGAAGATTAAACCGATCTGCTACAATCTGCACAATAAAAACTTGAATGAGAACATAACAAATAAAAGCATTTCTGAAAATTTGGCAGCCAAAAGCAAGAGCTCCCTTTACACCAGAACCAACATAATTACAACATTTTTCAATACAACACCTGAAGACCATTGTCACACACCTGCTGCTGATCAGGTTTGTTGGGGGAGCTATTTAAGGAAGACACGGCATGGGAGTCAGGGGAACACATGGGGATTGTTTGTGTGAATATTTACTGCACTGTAAATAAACGCACTGTTCACCACACGGAGTCCAGCATTTAGGTCCTCCTTTCCCCACATCCCCACGGTCTGCCAGCGCTAACAGTGACACCAAGTGACACATAAGACTTCAGTGTTTGTGTTTTAATGGAGACAAGAAACAAAGAGTATGCTGAGTAGCACAAAAATGAACCATTAGTGAGTGTGACACACTAGGAAAACTTTTTTTTTTATAAATTTTCCTCTACATACCACCAAAGTGGATTTTAAAAGAGGGTTCAACAAAATTATTGTATTAACTGCTTAGAAATTACTGACAGTTTTATAATTTTATAACAGCTCATTTTAAGAGATTCAGAAGTAATTATACAACTGACTGACAAACAACTGACTGTTCTACATTAAACCACCAGAATTAAAGATCAGGCTCTGATTCCAGGTGAAGTGCTGAATCTGCATGAAATACCTTTATACTGGAATTCTCAGTATGAGGTCCAAAGAGACGTTTCAAATGAAAGCTTTTCTTTAGCTGCTGGCTAAAGAAAAACAAAATAAACCTATTAAAGTGACAGCAAAAACTTTAGGAAGGGCCAAATCAACAGTCTGGTCTATTCTATAAAGGAATGAATGTACTGACAAGCTTATCAACACCAAAAGAAGCTCACAGAAGACTATCAAAGTACATAATTGTCACGGCTGGGGCAGCAGTCGTGTAGTGGAATGAAAAGGAACGAAAATGCAGGCAACTGACTGATGAAGAGTGTGACGTTTATTTACAAGGTGGGATAGTGGCAAGCAAGCAGTGAGGCATGACAAATAACTGAAGAAACCTAAACTGGGAGAACTAAATAACAAACCTGAGAGCATACAAAAGGGGTGCGGGGCAGAGAGACGCAGAGACAGGAACAAAACACCATAGAACGCAGACGAGCCGACAACGAACACAGACCGACACCCACTATATATATACACACACACACACACACACGGTAATCTGGTAACCACACACAGGAGGGAAGAACAGCTGATCTGAATACACATGATGACTGGAGGACACAAGCTGAACACAATGACAACAGACAGAGACCTTCAGAATAAAACAGGAAATCTAGAACACGAACCGGACACAAGGGGGGAGGACACAGAATACCAAAATCAGAATAACTAGAACAGAGAAAAATAATCATAAAACACAAAACGCTGGGTCAACAACCCAGCACCATGACAATAATAAGGACAGATTTATTTCCAGAATTAGGAAGAAAAAAGCTTCACAACATCTAAACATGTCAAGGACAATCTCAAGGAAGTAGGTGTGTCATTGCTAAAGTTAATGCTAATGATGGGAAGAAAAAATACAAAGGAGCACAAAATATGCAACATCATCATGGTCAAACATGGTGGAGGCAATGGGCAATGGGTCACATGATGATGTTACTGCTGATAGAAGTAGCAGGAATAATGGTGACGCGTGCAGGGATATACTTTCTGATCATATTCAGCCAAATGCTGCAAAACTGCTTGGACAGTGCTTCACTGTGCAAATGGACAATCACCCAGAGCAAACTGCAAAAGCAACTTAAGAGTTTCTCAAGGCAAAGGCATGGGATACTCTTCAATGACCAAGTTACTCATGTGATATCAGTCCAACAGAGGATGTGTTTCAGTTATTAAATACAAAACTGTGGGCAGAAAAGCCCACAAACAACTGTAAAGAATTTTCAGTATCCAAGTAATTTATATTACAGTAGTTTGTCCAATTTATTTGAGCCTCCCAAAATGGGGACTGCATATAAAAATGTCGGTAACCCCTTTTCCTGCTGCCCCATATTTTTTTAATTATTTTTTTTTAGAAAGAAGAGGCTTTCTCCTGGCCCTTCCAAAACATTTAACATGATAACTTCACAGGGCTGCATAGTTTTGTGTTAAAACTCTTTTCCCCCCACCTGACAGTATATATGGAGAAACTGTGACATGACTGTATAAATAAACAAAAAACAAGCACAAAAAAGATACTGTGATACCTGATTTGCTTTCCAACAAAGTTTAAGATCTTAATATGTTTTTTTTACTCCTAATAATAAACCTTGTTTTCTTAAAGATTAACCGAGTGATGCGTTATCCCTTTTTACTTTACTTCAGCAAACCACACTTTCAAAACCAGATTGAATTCCATTTACGGTCATCCCCTCAAAGAGAACAGCAGTCTTACATAACCGGTTTACCATTCTGCTGGTTTAAGCAAGTTTCCTCCAAATTATTTTATTATATTAACCCTAATTAAAGGTACATTATGATGAGCAAATCACCATAAAGCTATAGGTATTTTAAAACACTATGTAGTATATATCTGCTCGAATCTGAATATAAGAGTCTGTTACTATTATTGCAGTTAGTTTCTTTCAAATGGTGAATTATTTTATTATATAATTAATCAAAACCAAACACAGATACTAAATTCAAAGCTTGTTTCAAATAATCTAAAAATATTTTGAAGCTTCTCAATTGACATGTTCATTATGTCAGCTCACTGCCCCTGCATCAACTGAACTGTGTAGGTGGCACATGGGGATGGGTTAGGAACACCTCTTCTTCTCCCTCTTTAAATACAGCTGCATACATGAATGACCAAGGCTACATATGAGCAGTTAGTGGGATAACACTCAGGATCATTTTTGTTTTAACAGACAGGATGTGAAGATGCCTGTGCTGGATATCAAGTGCAGAGATGTATAATGTAAGTACCTGATGTTTGGAAAATTATTTTGTTTTAGGGTCTCTTACAGATGTTTAACTCTTACTGATTTGATTTCATTAATTTCATTTTTAGCTTTGACTTTAATTAACATCTCTATTGATAACAATACAAAAAGTGTAATTTATTATCATGTCATGAAGTGTTTTACCCTTTGCTTGAATTTCTGTGCTTTTCTGCACCAGAAACTGCTCGAGAAACCTAGTTTCCTAAATGACATGAGTTTAAAATATATATGTGACTTAATAAATATATATATTTTCACGTTGATTTTGATTTTTGTGGGTTCTGTGGGTTTGTTCTGTCACGAGGCCACTGAAATGCGCAATAAAACGTTGTGTGCAGAGACTGCTGAAAATGTGTCCACATGTTTCTTATGGTTGAGCTTACACTGTCTAATTATGTAAGAACATGGAAACATCTAATCCGCTAGAGCTCAGTCCTCATGGGGGTTGCCCTTCAGAACAAGAGTTCACTCCTTTGTCAAGGATGCTGACTCTCTGTTTCCATGGCAATAAGTCAACAGACTGAGGTTACTGCCATACTTGGAAAAAGAAACCCCTGCTGCAGCACAGTCAGATTTGCTGGTGGTAGAGTGGAACCAAGTGTGAAGATAAGCCGGTGGCATGCGACAGTGTTTGTACAAAACGTGGCTAGTGTGCAAGAGGTCTTTCAGTTTTAGTAATCCCACAGCTGCAATAGTGGTCAGAGGTACATCCACTCATTATGAGCATGAATGTTGTAATAATTTGGCGCTTTTAATGATTTCTTGCTCGATATTTGAACAGTCGTATTTGTAGAGCCAGCTTTCAATCATGGACAAGAAAGAGAATTTAAAGTGGGAAATTGCAAGTATTTATTCTTCATTGTTTCATCCACTTATGAAACAATGCACCATTACCACAGGCAGCAAAACAGTCCCAGAGCTTGATGCTACCACCACCATGCCTGAAAGCTTGTACAGTGTTCTTAGGTTTGAAAGCCTCACCGTTACTCCTCCAATTATTCCTCCTGTCAGTGTGAACAAATAGCTCAATCTTTGTCTCACTGGATCATAAAGCTTTTCTCCAGAAGGCCTCTGGCTCATCCAGGTGGGCAGCTAAAATAAATCTAAGTTGAGATTGAAGGTGTTGATTTTGGAACAGGGGGTGTTTCTTGGTTGGCACACTCTCAGTCCATGGCGATGTAAAACATGTGAACAGTGACACTGGTGTTCCAGCAGTTTCCAGTTCATGGCGCACTTGAGTCTTGGTTGTTGCTAGGTTTTTCCTGAACATCCGAATCAATTCCCTCTCATCTGATGGTGACAGTTAGGGTCCTCTTAGAGAAGCTGGAAAAGTGTAGACACATCTGAATAATTGGTACTAATGTACAACTGTTTGAAGTAAATGTAAAGCTAAAATCCCTTCTTAGACCTTCACTGAATTCCTGCTTGCAGCTTT